AGGGTGGGGGGGCTGTGGGGCACTGGGGGGGCTCAGCCTCCCCCAAAGTCCCCCCCTTTCCCCTCCAGACCGGGACGAGTGTGCCGAGGGCTCCCACGAGTGCGGGGGGGCCCAGAGCTGCCTCAACACTTTTGGGGGGCACCTCTGCATCCCCCGCGAGCTCTGCCGGGGGCCCTACGCCCCCCACCCCCGCAGCAATGGGTAAGGACCCCCTCGTGCACCCCAAAACCCCGGGGAGAGCTCCCGGCCCCTCCGTGTGCCCCCAAAATTGGGGGGTCTCCTCCTTGCCCCATCCCGGGGGCCCCTGTAACCCCACTGAGGGGCCCCGAGAGCTCCGGGGAGGTTTGGGGGTCTCGGGGGGGGTCCCGGGTTTGGGGATCCCCCCCATGCCCCTCCTTGGGCCGGCAGGACCTGCGTGTGCCCCAGGGGGGGTCCCGGCTGTGCCCCCCGGCCCCGCTGGCTCCTGCATCGCTTCCTGGCCCTGCCCCACATCCCCGACGTCCCCGCCGGCATTTTCCAGCTCCAGCACCCCCCGGGGGACCCCCAGAGGCTGCGGCTGCGGGGGGGCCCCCCTGGCACCTTCCGCCTGCGGGTACAAGGGCCTGGGAGGGAGTTGGGGGGCTCGGAGGGATTTTGGGGAGGCTTGGAGGGATTCTGGGGGGCTTGGAGGGATTTTGGGGAGGCTCAGAGGGATTTTGGGGGGCTTGAGGTGGGGCTCGGCAGGAACCGGGGTGGCTGGGACGGATTTTGGGGGTGGTATGAGGGAATTTGGGGGAGTCTGGGGCAGCTTTGAGGCGATTTTTGGGGGGTCTGGAGGGAGGTGGGAGGGGCTGTGGGGGAGTTTGGGGGCCGGGAGCTGCCCGGGGTCCCTTGGATGTCTCTGGCCGTGTTTGGGAGAGCTCGGTGGGAATTTTGGGGGCTCGGTGGGAATTCTGGGGGGCTCGGTGGGAATTCTGGGGGGGTCGGTGGGAATCTTGGGGGGCTCGGTGGGAATTTTGGGGGCTCGGTGGGAATTCTGGGGGGCTCGGTGGGAATTTGGGGGGCTCGGTGGGAATTCTGGGGGTCGCTGTGTGACCCCGCCCCCCGCAGGCGCTGACCAATCACAGCTCGCTGCTGGAGCTGGTGCGCCCCCTGGCGGGCCCGCGGCAGCTGCTGCTGGAGGTGGAGCTGCTCCGGCCGGGGCCCCGCCCCCCGGCGCAGGCCCCGCCCCCCGCCGCCGAGGCCCCGCCCCCCGGCGCGTGGGACCCGCCCCCCGGCGCGTGGGACCCGCCCCCTGCTGGGCGTGGCCTGGCTTTGCTCCGCCTCCACCTGTCCATGGGTGCCCACCCATTCTAGGGGGGACACCCCCGAAACCTCCACTGGGACCCCCCAGACACCCCCTGGGAGCCCCAGGTGTGCCCTGGGGCCCCCAAAACCTCCCCGGGCTGACCCTCGCCCTGCCTGGGACCCCCGAATTTGTTCCCTGGGTGCCCCAAGTTCCTGAAGGGATCCCCCAACCCCCAAAGAACTGTCGGGACCCCCGGTTTGGGAACAAAGAATGAGAGTCAGCGCCAAGCAGTGTGGTGTGCGGAGAAATGGGGGGGATTGGGAGGGACTGGGGGGGACTGGAAGGGACTGGGGGGGCCTGGAGGGAACTGGGGGGGACTGGGATATACTGGGAGGGACTGGGAAGAACTGGGGGGGACTGTTGCCCCCCAAGAGTCACACAGACGCTTGTGCCTCCCTCCCCACAGGGGGGCGCCCTTTATTAGCCACGCCCGCCCCGGCCCCGCCCCGGGGGCGTGGTCAGTGCCCCACCCGCACGTGGGGGTTGTTGAGCGGCTCGAGGGCGGGGTCGGAGTCGGCCCCGCCCCTGCCCAGGCTGGCCAATAGGAGCAGCAGCAGCGCGAAGGCCGCGGCCCCGCCCAGGCACAGCGCCAGCAGGGGGCGCCGCGGGGCCCCGCGCGCGCGGCACCTGCGGGGGAGGGGTCAGAGAGGGGGGGACCCAAAGGGACCTAGGGACCCCTGAAGAGACCCAGGGAGCCCCCAAAAGGACCCATGGACCCCCAAAGGGACCCAGAGACCCCCCAAAGGGAGCCCAGGGACCCCTGAAGGGACCCAGGGACCCCCCAAAGGGAGCCCAGGGACCCCTAAAGGGACCCCCCAAAGGGATCCCCCAAAGGCACCCCATGCCACCCTCAGAGTGACCCCCCCAAGCGCCCCCCGGGTCCCCCCCAGCCCCACCTGAGCTTGGGGGGCAGCCAGGCCAGCGGCCGCCGCCGGTATTTGTCCTCGTCGTGGTCGGGGGGGCTCCGGGCCTCACGGCCCCCCAGGGGCTTCCGTGGGGCAGAGCCTGGGGGCAGAGCACGGGGACCCTAAAAACCAGCCCGGGCCGGGGGACCCCCAGCGGTGCCCCCCGAAGCCCCCAGACTCACCGGCGTGCAGCGTCGGGGTCTCGCCCCCCATGTGGACGACGGCGTGGGGGGCTGGGGGGCTCGGGGGGGGCTGGGGCGGCGCCAGGGGGGCTGCGGGCACAGAGCTGGGCATCGGGGGCTGCCCCGGGCAGGACCCGGGGGGTCTTCAAGGGGTTGGGGTGCGCCAGGAAGGATTGGGGGGGTGGGGGTTGAGGTGTCCCAGAGGGTTTTGGGGTCCCATCGAGCCGCTTTGGGGGAGGGATGGGCCTCCAGGGAGGATTTTGGAGGTCCTGGGAGGGTTTTTGGGGGGTCAGGGTTCCAGGGAGGATTTTGGAGGTCCTGGGAGGGTTTTTGGGGAGTCAGGGTGCCTGGGAGGATTTTGGGGGTCCTGGGAAGGTTTTTGGGGGGTTCCAGAGCAGTTGCCTAGTCCCAGGGGGAATTTGGGGCTCTCAGAGGAGGAATTGGGGTACACAGGGATCATCTCGGAGGGTCTCTGGTGGGTTTTGGGATGCTGGGGGGGCTCAGCTTCCCGGGCAGAAACGCGGGGGTGCTCCCCAGGGGCTCTGCAGGGTCCCAGGGGTGCTCCTGGGGGTGTTTTTGGGGCAGCCCCGCACCGTCCCAGCCCCCGTCGGGCTCCGTGGAGGTCTCGGGCTCCGGCAGCTCCTCCGAGTCCTCGATCTGGGGGGGGTTGGAGCGTTTCAGGGCGGGGTTTGGGGCACCCTGGGCAGTTCCGGGGCGGTGTGGGGACCCCCCGGGAGCCGTGCCCACCCCGGCACTCACCAGCGGCAGCCCCAGGCCGGGCCGGGCCCACGGCGCCGTCCGGAGCCGCGCCCGCAGCGCCTCGGCCACGGGGCCCTGCAGGTTGGGGGGCGGGAAGAGCGGCCCCCCGCACTGGGGGCAGCGGTGCCCGGCGGGGGCCGTGCTGGGGGGCAGCGCCCGCGCCCACGCCGCCAGGCACGGCCAGTGGAACACGTCTGGGGGCAGGGGGAGGGTCAGGGGCACCCGGGACCCCCTGAGCCCTCCCCGGGCCCCCAGGACCCCCGAGCCCCCTGGGACCCCCACCCACCCTAACAGGCCGGCTGCACGGTGCCCCCCGAGCCCTCCCCAGACCCCCGAGAGCCCCAGAACCCCCCGTGCCCCCCGGCCACCATAGCAGGCCAGAACCCCCCGAGCCCTCCAGAACTCGCCGTGATGCCCCCAGGGACCCCCAAAATTCCCCCAGGACCCCCCAAGCCCCCCCGGGACCCCCCCACGGACCCGCGCCCCCCCTGCGCCACCGCCGGGTCTCGAACTCGTAGAATTTCTTCTCGTAGAGTTTGCGGGGGGGCCCTGGGGGGGGCACGGGTCAGCCCAGGGCTCCCAGTGCAAACCAGTTCAAACCAGTTCACACCAGTTACCCCTCCCATCCCTCCCAGTGCAAACCAGTTCACACCAGTTCACACCAGTTACCCCTCCCAGTGCAAACCAGTTCACACCAGTTACCCCTCCCATCCCTCCCAGTGCAAACCAGTTCAAACCAGTTCAAACCAGTTACTCCTCCCATCCCTCCCAGTCGTTCCCAATCCCTCCCAGTGCTCCCAGTCCAAACCAGTGTTCCCAGTTACCCCTCCCATCCCTCCCAGTGCAAACCAGTTCAAACCAGTTCA